GGCCCTCCGTCCCGCCGGCACCATGGGCAATTGCCACACGGTGGGGCCCAACGAGGCGCTGGTGGTTTCAGGTGAGGGGCAGCGAGAGAGGTGGGTCTGGGGCGCCCGGTCCGGAGGGTGTTGGGGGCGGGGTGGAAGTGTGCCTGGGGAGGTGGATAAGGAGGGGTCTCGCGCTGGGGAGCGACGGGGAAGCGTAGGCCAGGGAAGGGCCCCGAGGGTGAAGGGCAGTGGCGCGGGGGCGCGGGGGGACGAGGTGGGGACACCGAGAGTCAGGCCCGATTCTGCTGCGCTCCGGGTGGCACCTGAGACCCTTCCAGGGGAGTCTCCTAGACTCACACTTTCGGTGCTCTGCGCCCTCCGCCACCTACCAGGGGCTCCTCCCCCACTGCGTGTTTTCCTCATGTTTTTCCTCTGCTTTCTCCGCCTCCCCTCTAGGCATGTTCCCTCTCCGTGGCCTTGCGGGGGGGGAGGGGGGCGGTGAAGCCGTGGGGTTCCGGGAGGGAGAGGAACAGCGGTCTGGCTGAATTCCAGCGCCCGGGACTGGGGGTGGGTCGCGCAGCTCTGCGGAGCAGGTGCCTATCGGGGAAGGGGCCTGAGACACAGATCATTTCAACGGGCACTGTTAGACCCGTTAATCCCTGGCAGGCTGAGGCTTGCCGGGGTTTCCAGGCATTGCGCTCTGGGGAGATGCGGGTGCGGCCTCTACAGGTTGAGAAACACGTTTCTGGGTTGTGCTGCTCCTGTTGCAAAATGCTGCGGGTTCCAGGATTTCTGTGAGCTTAGGTGGGGCTTGTGGACTGCAGTATTGGGAAAGGGAGAGGTCTTTTGACTTAAGGCTGCCTTTTGAATTGTATATTTGGATTTCTTGGGAGGTGGCTGAAGCCTTTAAAGGCACCAGTTTGTACAGCAGCTCTGGATTGCAGGTGCTAGGAAAGATCCGTGGTTCCTGATAGCTTGGAGGCCTCATGTCTTACTTTCCACTCAATGCCGATATTAAACCTGTGTGCAGTTTTAGAACTGTCTACGGAAGTAGGTAGAAGCAGGTAGGCTAAGCCAGGTATTGTAGCTGCCCACTCTAGGGGAAGATTGATAAGTCCACTGAAAACTTTTACCCCAGAACATGGCCTCTGGCACAGTCTGGATCTCAAAATCAATCTCTCCTCTGAGATAGGAAATCCGCGCTCCCTGATCAGGATCTTACTCCTGTGGGGGAAATAAGATACTTCACTTTCCTAAAGACCTGAGATAGCCTTGGGATCAGGAGGGAGATCCCCAGAGAATGCTGAGGCCAAACTTGCACCTACCTCTGTAAGACTTGGTCCAGTCTTCCAGCCCCCCACTCCTAAAGAAGGCTTTTAGAATCCAAATCTGCATTTTGTTTTTCTTTTTTCATTTCTTTTTTTCTTAATAGACTTTTTAGAAAGAGGGAGAGAGAGAGATTGATTTGTTGTTCCACCCATTTGTGCATTCATTGGTTGATTCTTGTATGTACCCTGACTGGGGATCGAACCCAAAACCTTGGTTTATCAGGACATTGCTCTAACCAACTGAGCTACTCGGCCAGGGCATACTTTGTGTTTTTTTTTTGTTTTGTTTTTTTTAAATATATCTTTATTAATTTCAGAGAGAGAAAGGAGAGGGAAAGAGAGAGAGAGAAACATCAATGATGAGAGTCATTGATCAAGCCCGCAACCCACGCATGTGCCCTGACTGGGAATCGAACCCCGATCTCCTGGATCCGAGGTCCACGCTCAACCGCTGAGCCACGCCCGGCCGGGCAGGGCATATTTTGTTTTTCTTGTGGAGTTTCTTTCTGGAAGCCTGGAGTCTGAGCTTAGGAGACAAGCTCCAATCTTCTTTGAGAGGGGTGAGAGGAACCCCTGAGATGGGCTGATCTGTACCTTCCAGGTGCCAGAAACCTGGTCGTCTTGCCAGAGACCCATGCAGTGCTAATTTGGAAGCTATTTTAGGGGTCGGAGAGGAGGCCATGCTGAGAATTGAAGGCGCTGGAGTCAAGGAAAGATGAGATATAAGAGGAAAAGATGATGCCTAGCATAATAGTACCTTGGGATTTGAGATGACCAAACTGAGATGCAGCTCCCTCTTGCACATGGACTTGCAGGAGAACAGAGCAACTACTCCCAGTCCTGCCCAACCTGGTTGCTTGGGCCTGTGTCTAAGCCCAGGGGCACCTCACTAAGCCCAATTTCAGAGGAAGGATGCTGATATATCTCATGGTCATCTTTTTCACCTGAGAAGTCTGGAGGTTCTTCTGATTATCTAACCTTCCTCCTCCATTCTATAATATAAAACCTTTTACTCTATTTCTATGTGGGGATTTTAAAAGGGAAATCCAAATACGTACACCTTTCTCCCATCTCCATAATAGGTCAGAGGTTCTTAACCTGGGAATTGTGGATAGAATTTAGAGGTCTGTACATTTGGATGGGGAGAAAAGTGCATTTATATTTAGCATCTCCTAGGATTATGAATGTCAGTGACAGTTGCGATGGTATTAGCAGATATTTTCCTACCACAATACATTTGTTGTAATACCTTAAAAGTCATTTATATTCATCACTACTTTGAAATTAAGCTGGTTATTAAATCTACCATAGACCTTATTATTAAATGTATTATAGTGTCACACATATTACTGTGTATTACATATCACACTATGCCACATATTTGGTTGTTTTAATATTTTGATAACTTTTAATATAATTTGTTTCTTATGAATTTTATTTTATGCCTTTATGAACATTCCAGCATTGCTGGACTACTAAGGGTATTTGTGGCTCAAAAAAAGGCTAAATGCCCCTTGTAGAGTATGGTCTTCTGTACTAACAGGAGGAAGGAGGTAGAAGAGGAAGGGCAAGAAGGGAAGGGAATTTTCCTGAGAGGACAGAATGTGCTTAGGGAGGGGCTCAGAGAGGGGTAAAGGTTATCTAAGGATGTTTTAACTTTCAGGTCTCAAGACAGTAGGAGCTAGGGCAGGCAAGGAAGGGGCACCTAAATGTCCTCTTCAAGGAGTGGTGCTCAGACTCAGTGTGACCAGGAAGCTGGGAGGAAGATGCCTTCCAGAAGAGGAGGCTGCTGGGGACAGGGCAGTCTGGCAATCCCAGCTTCCTGTTGTTGCTACCCCTGGGAACCTGGACATGTTGCCCTTGGCCAAGGCCCAGCTTGAGCTGTGGCAGCCTGCTCCCAAGGTCAAAGACTAAGTTAAAAGGTAAAGGGTGGACATCCCTCCAGTCCCCCCTCCAGGCCTCCCCTTAGCCCACCCCACCACTATCACCTCCTCCGCCAGCACATTGAGAAATGCCCTGGAGCTGGCTGGAGGCAGTGGTGCCCCAGCCCCCACCAGGCCAGGAGAAGTGAAACAAGCTGTGATTTTTGACCCTCTTCCAGTTTCACTGGATCCAAGATGGTTTAGGTTACAGATTGACTGCTTGTCCTTAGAGGCCTCCCATACCCCAGTCCCCAGGGCCGAGAAGCCCGCAATAGCTTCCATTGAACAGCCAGCAGCCCTGTGAACAGGTATTTTCACTACAAGGAAACAGAGACCTAAGACTCCTCTTCCCACCCTTACTCACAGGTGGGCTGATCTCTGCTCCCTGGGCCTCTGGCCCAGCTACTTGCCCACTATGCACAGCAGCAGCCCCAGGAAACTGATTTGGCAGTTTAGTGAGCAGTCTCAGATGGCAGTTCTTGAACCTGACAGGCCCTCTGCATTCCTGGAGACTTTGTTCCTTCGCCTCCACTCATCCAAAACTTCTCTCCAGTTTGAGTTTCTCTCCGTTGTCTCTGTTTTGGTTGCGGGCTTCACCACCCACCCAAACCCAGACTGTAGAGCTACACCAACATGGTATCCGCTAGCCACATGTGGCAACTTCAGTTTAAATTAAATTAAAATTCACTTCCTTAGTAGTATCAGCCACATTTCAAGTGTTCAGTAGCCACCTGTGGCTG